ACTAGTCAGACCATAGTCAAGATTCTAACACACACTACTAGTCAGACCATAGTCATAATTCTAACACACACTAATAGTCAGACCCTAGTCAAGATTCTAACACACACTAATAGTCAGACCCTAGTCAAGATTCTAACACACACTATACTGGTCAGACCCTAGTCAAGATTCTAACACACACTACTAGTCATACCCTAGTCAAGATTCTAACACACACTACTAGTCAGACCCTAGTCAAGATTCTAACACACACTACTAGTCAGACCCTAGTCAAGATTCTAACACACACTACTAGTCAGACCATGACTAGTAGTGTGTGTTAGAATCTTGACTATACCCTAGTCAGGATTCTAACACACACTACTAGTCATACCATAGTCAAGATTCTAACACACACTACTAGTCATACCCTAGTCAGGATTCTAACACACACTACTAGTCAGACCCTAGTCAAGATTCTAACACACACTACTAGTCAGACCCTAGTCAAGATTCTAACACACACTACTAGTCAGACCCTAGTCAAGATTCTAACACACACTACTAGTCAGACCATAGTCAAGATTCTAACACACACTACTAGTCATACCCTAGTCAAGATTCTAACACACACTACTAGTCAGACCCTAGTCAAGATTCTAACACACACTACTTGTCATACCATAGTCAAGATTCTAACACACACTACTGGTCAGACCCTAGTCAGGAGTCTAACACACACTATACTGGTCAGGCCCTAGTCAAGATTCTAACACACACTACTAGTCAGATCCTAGTCAAGGAAATAATTCACCCACAAAATGAATCCAACATCTAAAGAACAAGGAAAATGTTATTATTATTTGTCTTGATGATATTACCAGTGCTGTAAAAGTATCTTGCTATATATATATATATATATATGTACAGTCATGCACAGTTTCCGTCCACGCTAGCCTCATTAAGAAGGTGAACTAGAAAATTACAGAAAAATAAAACACAGTTTAATTAAACTAAAACCTTCTATTAAACTGTCTTACCTTCGTCTGTAAGTTATATCTGTTTGGTGTTAACAGAAGAAAAGAAAATACTCTTTAAAACATCAAATTTGATCTTTAGATTAGTTCTCGCCTAGATCGAGGCGTTCCGCCGTTTAACACCGAGTATGAGCCTAATTCGAGGCGTTCCGCTATCACGAACTGTAGGTTTTTCGCACTCCAAGTCATGCGTATTCACACTGAGTAACTGTGGCGTCCTCGGATGTGAAGTTTATTCAGTAATGTTCTCAAAGCAAATTCTGTTGATTTTCTCGCAATGTTTATTTGTTTGATGACCAATATATTTTGATCATAGCAACCGACATACATAGATCAGAATTAAAAATTACTCCAGTAACTATGGTAGCTAATCTAATATACCGGTCTAACTAGGACCGAGTGATGACAAAAAGGAAAAGTTTATATTGTATTGATTTATCAATTGAATATCCTTGTTGTTATTTTAATAAGTTATGATAAGTGAGCACAAAAAGACTATGAAATTCTGTAAACTGAAGGAGGTTAATAAATGGAAAAAGTAAACGGTATGTTAACTGAATGAGGTTAATAAATGTAAAAAGTAAACGGTATGTTAACTGAAGGATGTTAATAAATGGAAAAAGTTAACGGTATGTTAACTGAAAGAGGTTAATAAATGGAAAAGTTAACAGTATGTTAACTGAAGGATGTTAATAAATGGAAAAGTTAACAGTATGTTAACTGAAGGATGTTAATAAATGTAAAAAGTAAACGGTATGTTAACTGAAGGATGTTGATAAATGGAAAAAGTTAGCGGTATGTTAACTGAAGGATGTTGATAAATGGAAAAGTTAGCGGTATGTTAACTGAAGGATGTTAATAAATGGAAAAAGTAAACGGTATGTTAACTGAAGGATGTTAATAAATGTAAAAAGTAAACGGTATGTTAACTGAATCAGGTTAATAAATGTAAAAAGTTAACGGTATGTTAACTGAAGGATGTTAATAAATGTAAAAAGTTAACGGTATGTTAACTGAAGGATGTTAATAAATGTAAAAAGTTAACGGTATGTTAACTGAAAGAGGTAAATAAATGGAAAAGTTAACGGTATGTTAACTGAAAGAGGTTAATAAATGGAAAAGTTAGCGGTATGTTAACTGAAGGATGTTAATAAATGTAAAAAGTTAACGGTATGTTAACTGAAAGAGGTTAATAAATGGAAAAGTTAACGGTATGTTAAAAGGTAAAAAATTCAGTGTACCCAGCTGCTCTTCATCAGTTTAGGCCTATAGCACGTGAAACACAAATCGAACATTCTAGACACCCAGAATAACATGCAGACCTCTTGATTTTCGTTTGCTTTTCGCGTAATTTTCGTTCTTTTCGTATATCTTTATACCGAAATGGTCCGTGTTTTTATTGTTAGTTTCGTTTCCCGTTTCCTGTAATCTTTGATTTTCATGTTAGCGCCTCCTGGTAGATGGAACTGGAGAAAAAAAGAAATGGTAGAACTTTTTTGTTGTTGTTGTTGTTGTTTTGTTTTGCTTGTTGTTAAGCGAAAAACTACTCAATGAGCTATCTGTGCTTTGCCCACCGGGAGTATCAAAACATATTTTTTACCGTTAAAAGTCCCCAGATTTAACGCTGAGCCACCAGGGGCCCGCGCTTTTGACATACACAAGAAGTATTCCTTCAAACACCGCTACTGATTTTCTATTATTGTTACTACTGACTATATCTGTAGAGAAGTATTCCTTCATACATCGCTACTGATTTTCTAGTATTGGGACTACTGGCTATATCTGTAGAGAAGTATTCCATCAAACACTGCTACTGGTTTTCTAGTGCTGTTACTACTGACTATATCTGTAGAGAAGTATTCCTTCAAACATCGCTACTGATTTTCTAGTATTGGGACTA